CACAACCACTGTCACGAGTTTACTGCAACAGCAGGCTGCGTTCACTGACACTCAGACAGTGAACTGTGGGTCCACGCACTTCTAATCAAGGGCCGGTCTAAGCTGTGAAGCAGTGCAATAAAAAACGTTTTCAAGAACAAGATGAGAGAGTACCTATTTTCCATTTTTCTCCTTTTGGAATGATTGCACATGTTGCAACAAAAGCAAGAGATGTTACAAAGCTGTCGATGCTTTGAAGCCTATGTTTACAAAGACTTCACCTCAGATTACAAAGACAGGGAAAAACCAGAAGGACAAAGTCTTATTGGATTAAACTCAGTCTGCACCTCAAAACTGAAAGATCTGGATTGAAGCTGACTGCACAACAGACAAATACTGGCTCTCAAGGGCGAACACATTTGACTGAAACACAGGAAAGGGCCACACCGCTTCAGTTTGACATGATCCAAAGGGACGGCTTGTGCTCCAAGTACATACAATGTCCTTGTCCATCCTGACACTGGTTTTGACCTCAGGGAGCCTCACGGGGCAATGTGACCGGACTGCAGCACGTCAGATTTTCTCTGAGAGGAATGAAGCCCAGCCTACAGTGACAAAAAGATCAAATAAAATCCAAAAGTAGCAGAAAAATATCATTATTCAACTATTTTTTTTCCCTTGCATGACCTTGTGTTGTAATATCCAATCCTACAGTTCGTAAATTTAACAAACAAAATCTCTGAGCGTAAAGGACAAGGCTGAAAATCAATACTGGATGCTCGTGAACTTTGAGCCCTCAGGCAAAACTGCAATAAAAACAGGTCTTATTCTGTGGACATCACTGCGTGGGCTCAGGCACACTTCTTCTAAATCTTTGTCTGTAAACACAGTTTGCCATGTCAAACACACATGTGGGTTGAAGCTCTGTTATGCAAAGAGGAAGCCATACGATCGCCATCTGAAAACAAGCCGCCATCCTCTATGAGCCAAACAACATTTAAAATGGATTGAGGCAAAACTGCTCTGTGGACAGACAAATCAAAATTTGAAATTATTTTTGAAAATCACACATGCCACGTCCTTGTACTAAAGAAAAGTTATTACCAGCTCGTGGTTCTAAAGCCTACCTCTCTGATGGCGTGGGGGTGCATTACTGTCCCAGTGATGAGCCAGGACAGTAATGTAAAAAGGTGGATTTTGCATGTCCCGTTTAAAGGGATCCATGATTAGTTGTAACATTAGACTTTATTTGACAAACACATATTTTAACTGTAAAATAAAGACTGTAAAAATACTGTTTAGTTTTTATAATTTTTAAACTACAAGTTTAAAAATATATTACATGGATGGGGCCATTTTATTTACACGCAAAGCATTCTGGGTAAATGATGACATGGATAGGTACTCGGTGCAAGGCTGCTAGCGAGCTATATCCACCCTGAAGGTTAATCTTGGACAATATCTGAAGATCCTCTCTTTTAAATGGTAAATGGTAAATGGTAAATGGTACTGAACTTATAGAGCGCTTTTCAAGTCCCTCCGGACCCCAAAGCGCTTTACACTAACAGACATTCACCCATTCACACTCACACTCATACACTGATGATGGCAAACTACACTGTAGCCACAGCTGCCCTGGGGCACACTGACAGAAGCGAGATGAATGAAATGAAACCAGAGAGCGTTGACAGAGAGGAGAAGGTAGAAATGACTCAGCCTGTAACTGAAAATATAGATGGAGGACAACAGAGCTGCTTCATGGAAGAAGAACCTCATCTTAGCCTGTTAGCTTTAGCATTAGCCCCAACGCTATCACCATATTTATTAGCTCAGTGCTACACATTCTCCTCTTGTCCTTCGTCCACATGACAGAGAGGGGAACGCAAAAATGACTCAGACTGCAACTGAAAATATGGATGGAGGACCTCAGTTTCGCTTGTTTGTCGCGCTAGTGCCGACCTAATTCATGTAAGGCAATATAGCATCGGCGCTAGCGCAAATGCTAACAGGCTAAGCTGAGGTTCTTCTTCCATGAAGCAGCTCTGTTGTCCTCCATACATTAAAATATATTTTTAAAAATTTACAAAACTAAACAGCCTAGAGTATTTTTACAGTCTTTTTTACAGTTAAAATAAATGTCTATCAAATAAAATCTAATGTTACAACTAATCAGGGATCCCTTTAAGCTGCTAAAATCCTACATCAGTCAAATTCCCCTCTGGAAACCCTAGCAGCTAATCTCATCTGTTCCTATCATATTTCACTCCAATCTTTAATTTAAAGCAATAGGAAGTCTCTGTTCCATGAACATGTATTTTTATTTGTGTCCAAAAATGAACAGTCCATATAAAAATGGTGCACAAATTACTCTGTCGTTATTCGTACAATATTTAAGTTCAACAACTTAATACATACATGTTTAGTTAGCTTCTTAAGGTTTCTGTCAGCAGGAAGCAGACAAGCAATTGACTCATTTCCATTCATTAATCACACCTAATTTATGTGACTGTGTCTAGCAGATGCAGCATCACCTTATTTGCATTCTGACAGCCAGCTTTGACGTGTTGCAGCACGTTGGCACACAGTCGCTGTCCTCTCAGCTGCTAAGTAGCTCCAGGGCGTCAGCGGTCACCCTTACAGCCTGTGACCGGGGAGCACTTATTTTTCCGGCCTGATTCCTCCGGTGGCTCGCAGACACAAACTGTTTCTGTCATCAGGTGCTGAAATCCAGATGGCTGCTGCTGTGACGCTGTCAATCAGACTGTTGTTACTGTCTTTCTGACATGAACATAAATAAGAGAAGAAAAGGACGATGCAGATTCTCTTGTGAACAATGTGTCACCCACAGCGTCTCTTAAGATGTTGATGTGTTTTGTCAATAGTGATGTGTCGTGCTTTGTAGTGAATCAGAAGAGCTGACTACCATCAACTGAGAGCCGGTGCCTCAGTTTTTACTTCCCTTTTACCAATCACATACAAGGATATAGGATATGGGTGGGCAAACTTAGTCCTCGAGGGCTGTTATCCATCATGTTTCATTTGTTTCTCTGCTCCAACACACTTGATTGGAATGAATGGGGGATTAATCCACTTCTGCAGAACTTGAGAGGTAATTCAATCACTGAATCAGGGGTGTTGGAGCAGAGAAACAGTAAAAACTTGCAAGATAATGGCCCTTGAGGACCAGAATTGTCCACCCCTGATATGGATCATAGGGAGAGCATCTGTCTCCTCAAGGGCCCAGCCTTGATCCATTAAGTAAAAATTAAGTTTGATTAAAATAGTAAACAAAGGTAAGAATGCCTGCTTTTGTTCAGAGTTGTAAAGTAACTAAGTACAAATACTTAGTTACTGTACTTAAGTAGAATTTTTGGGTATCTGTTCTTTACTTGAGTAATTATTTTTCAGCCTACTTTTTACTTCTACTCCTTAAATTTTCACATAATTATCTGTCCTTTTTACTCCTGACACTTATAAAAAAGGCAAGAAGTAGAAAGTCGTTACTTTTATTTTATTTTTGCTTGTTTTCATTCCAGCTTCTCATTGTAAAAAAATAAACACTATCCATATAAACTGTGCCTCCTAGATAAAGTGAATTTAACTGTGGTTGAATAAGAAGTATAAATATATAAAATTCTGATACTGTATTAGTTTGTACACAAACAAATCATGTCACACTCCAGCAGGACATAAACATTAATAAAAGGACTATACTTAGAAGTATTTGTATTTCATGAACTGTATTAGTG